CACTGATACTGTAACCACAGCAAAATACACTGATACTATATCCACAGCGATATACACTGATACTATATGCACAGCGAGATACACTGATACTGTAACCGCAGCAAAATACACTGATACTATATCCACAGCGATATACACTGATACTATATCCACAGCGATATACACTGATACTATATCCACAGCGAAATACACTGATACTATATCCACAGCGATATACACTGATACTATATCCGCAGCGAAATACACTGATACTATATCTGCAGCGAAATACACTGATACTGTAACCACAGTGATATACACTGATACTATATCCACAGCGAAATACACTGATACTATATCCACAGCGAGATACACTGATACTATATCCACAGCGAAATACACTGATACTATATCCACAGCGAGATACACTGATACTATATCCACAGCGAGATACACTGATACTATATCCACAGCGAAATACACTGATACTATATCCACAGCGATATACACTGATACTATATCCACAGCGAGATACACTGATACTATATCCACAGCGAGATACACTGATACTATATCCACAGCGAGATACACTGATACTGTATCCACAGCGAAATACACTGATACTATATCCACAGCGAGATACACTGATATTGTATCCACAGCGAGATACACTGATACTGTATCCACAGCGAAATACACTGATACTATATCCACAGCGATATACACTGAAACTATATCCACAGCGAAATACACTGATACTATATCCACAGCGAGATACACTGATACTATATCCACAGCGAGATACACTGATACTGTATCCACAGCGAAATACACTGATACTATATCCACAGCGAGATACACTGATATTGTATCCACAGCGAGATACACTGATACTGTATCCACAGCGAAATACACTGATACTATATCCACAGCGATATACACTGATACTATATCCACAGCGATATACACTGATACTATATCCACAGCGAAATACACTGATACTATATCCACAGCGATATACACTGATACTATATCCACAGTGATATACACTGATACTATATCCACAGCGAAATACACTGATACTATATCCACAGCGATATACACTGATACTATATCCACAGCGATATACACTGATACTATATCCACAGCGATATACACTGATACTATATCCACAGTGAAATACACTGATACTATATCCACAGCGATATACACTGATACTATATCCACAGCGATATACACTGATACTATATCCACAGTGAAATACACTGATACTATATCCACAGCGATATACACTGATACTATATCCACAGCGATATACACTGATACTATATCCACAGCGAAATACACTGATACTATATCCACAGCGATATACACTGATACTATATCCACAGCGATATACACTGATACTGTATCCACAGCGAAATACACTGATACTGTATCCACAGCGATATACACTGATACTGTAACCACAGCAAAATACACTGATACTATATCCACAGCGATATACACTGATACTATATGCACAGCGAGATACACTGATACTGTAACCGCAGCAAAATACACTGATACTATATCCACAGCGATATACACTGATACTATATCCACAGCGATATACACTGATACTATATCCACAGCGAAATACACTGATACTATATCCACAGCGATATACACTGATACTATATCCGCAGCGAAATACACTGATACTATATCTGCAGCGAAATACACTGATACTATATCCACAGCGATATACACTGATACTATATGCACAGCGAGATACACTGATACTGTAACCGCAGCAAAATACACTGATACTATATCCACAGCGATATACACTGATACTATATCCACAGCGAAATACACTGATACTATATCCACAGCGATATACACTGATACTGTATCCACGGCGAAATACACTTGTAACGGCACACAAGATGGGTTTAAGGCACTTCGTAACCGATTAAAGACTAGGGGAGAGTGTGATGGCGGTTGGCAGGCTATTCCTTAGGAAGGGAGTCGCCCGTGAGAAGTCCTGCAAGCGTGAGTTGGCCGAACGGGTGCGAGCAATGGACAGGAAAAGGTCACGGGCAGAGACCGATTAGGGGCATACCTATGGATCTGTGAAGAGATATAAGAGGGACTAGAATTGTTCATGTTTATAGCACTTTAGCACTTTGAATTGACTCCTATAGGATACAGGAAGCCAATGTAAGGACTGACCGAGGGGTAAAGTGTGAGAGAACCGACTAGAGAGGAAAATCAGTCTGGCGGCAGCATTCATTACAGACTGTAGCGGGGCAACTATAGAAATACAAAAAGCAAATAAGATATGTGAACACAACCCCAGTGAGAAAGGTGTATAATTTTAAGCAGACCGGAACTTCCCTGTGTCAGGTGAAGTATCCAGATAGGTCCCCAAAGACTTCATCTTGTCTTCAACAGAGTATATACAAATAGAATAGGGGATAATCTGCTAAATACAGAATAGATAAAATAACATAGCGATTAACTGTGTGAGAGTAAGTAACAATATGTTGGCCACTCACAAATTCCCAGATGTAAAACAGCCTTAAGTAAAACCTCTCCTCCAATATCCACTGTATTTTCTCATCTTAACACTCCCATCAGTAGGTTGGAATATGTAACTCAAGAGGAAAATATACAGAAAAAAATGTAGTGCGCTTCCAGAGTATAATAAAAAGGAATTTAATTACTTACATATAAGCATAAAACAATTTGTTTGTCACCACTGGACACCTAGAGAAAATACAGTGGATATTGGAGGAGAGATTTTACTTAAAGGACCACTCTAGGCACCCAGACCACTTCAGCTTAATGAAGTGGTCTGGGTGCCAGGTCCAGCTAGGGTTAACCCATTTTTTCATAAACATAGCAGTTTCAGAGAAACTGCTATGTTTGTGAATGGGTTAAGCCTTCCCCTATTTCCTCTAGTGGCTGTCTCATTGACAGCCACTAGAGGCGCTTGCTTGCTTCTCACTGTGATTTTCACAGTGAGAGCACGCCAGCGTCCATAGGAAAGCTTTATGAATGCTTTCCTATGTGACTGGCTGAATACACGCGCAGCTATTGCCGCGCGTGCGCATTCAGCCGACGGGGAGGAGAGAAGGAGGAGAGCTCCCCGCCCAGCGCTGGAAAAAGGTAAGTTTAAACCCCTTTCCCCTTTCCAGAGCCGGGCGGGAGGGGGACCCTGAGGGTGGGGGCACCCTCAAGGCACTATAGTGCCAGGAAAAGGAGTAACTAACATATTGTTACTTACTCTCACACAGTTAAATTCTATTTCTATGTTATTTTATTTATTCTGTATTTAGCAGATTATCCCCTATTCTATTTGTATGTAGCAGGGCAATACGGCTTTTGGGAAGACCAATTAGGAGAGTGTTACAATAATCCATGCAGGAAATTACTAGAGCATGGACAAGCTCCTTGGTAGCATCTTGTGTAAGAAAGGGGCGGATGCGGGCTATGTTTTCAACATGGAATCTACAGGATTTGGCAACATGCTGGATGTAAGGCTCAAAGGTGAGGCCAGAATCAAGTATGACGCCAAGACGTAAAATCCCGATATTGTAGAGGAAGCTGAGTTAAGTTTGTAGCAACCATTTTATTAATTGTTGTGGCAACAGGTGTTGCCTTAGAGGGTTGACAATTCATTAAGAAGTGTTCTGAAGGAAATGACAAAGTTCTAGTCTTCCAATCCAGAATCAAGTAGGATGCCAAGACACTGCACATGCAAGGATGGACTCATGGGGATTCCACTAACTTGAAGGGAGAGCGAAAGAGGAGGATCAGTATAAGGAGGAGGAAAGACAAGGAGCTCCGTTTTAGAGACTGAGTTTCAGAAAGCGGGAGGACATCCAGTCAGAGATGGAAGAAAGGCAAGCAGTGACACGTTGCAGGACAGCAGGGGAGAGATCCCGGGGAGGAGAGATATATCTGGGTGTCATCAGCGTACAGGTGGTAGTGGAATCCAAATGAGGTAATAAGTTTGCCAAGAGAGGCAGTATAAAGAGAAATAGAAGGGGACCAAGGACAGAGCCTTGAGGGACTCCAACAGAGATAGGACGAGGGGAGGAGGTATCATTAGAAAAGGAGACACTGAATGAGCTTTGGGACAGATAAGAGGAAAACCACGAGAGGACAGAGTCACAGAGACCGAGTTATTGAAGAGTTTGAAGGAGGAGAGCATGATCAACGGTGTCAAACGCAGCAGAGAGGTCAAGGAGAATTAAAATGGAGTAGTGACCTTTGGATTTAGAGGAGATTAGGTCATTAGTAACTGTCAGGATCATATCCTGACAACAATGTTTTAATCTTCATTTATTTCTGTTCCTTTAAAAGAAGTTCCAGCTCTCCACCACTAGTGGCCTCCCTAGCCACTAGTCACCTCCGTCCTCACCTGCCTAGGACTACAAAAGACCACACCCGACAAAGCAAGTTGAAGTTGTTGTTCATACTGGAAACACTTCAGATCCAGGCTCCTGAAACAACCTTTGACTTACCTGTATTAGCTTCCAACCTGGTTTACATCCAGCCCTGCTTCATACCAACCTGGATAACCTACCTCTCTGCTTTAACCTGCCTACCTGATTTATACAGCCCTGCTTCATACCAACCTGGATAACCTACATCTCTGCTTTAACCTGCCTACCTGATTTATACAACCCTGCTTCATACCAACCTGGATAACCTACATCTCTGCTTTAACCTGCCTACCTGATTTATACAGCCCTGCTTCATACCAACCTGGATAACCTACATCTCTGCTTTAACCTGCCTACCTGATTTATACAACCCTGCTTCATACCAACCTGGATAACCTTACATCTCTGCTTTAACCTGCCTACCTGATTTATACAACCCTGCTTCATACCAACCTGGATAACCTACATCTCTGCTTTAACCTGCCTACCTGATTTATACAGCCCTGCTTCATACCAACCTGGATAACCTACATCTCTGCTTTAACCTGCCTACCTGATTTATACAACCCTGCTTCATACCAACCTGGATAACCTACATCTCTGCTTTAACCTGGATAACCTACCTCTATGCTTTAACCTTCCTACCTGATTTATACAGCCCCGCTTCATACCAACCTGGATAACCTACATCTCTGCTTTAACCTGCCTACCTGATTTATACAGCCCTGCTTCATACCAACCTGGATAACCTACATCTCTGCTTTAACCTGCCTACCTGATTTATACAACCCTGCTTCATACCAACCTGGATAACTTACATCTCTGCTTTAACCTGCCCAGGCCCGGACTGGCCATCGGGCATACCGGGCAAATGCCCGGTGGGCCGCGATGGCCGTGGGGCCGAGGCCGGCAGGGGAGATCCTGTCGGCCGGCTCCTGCAGGGCCAGCGCTACCCGAGCGCCGGCCCCGCTGTGTGTCTCCATGGGCCGGTGGGGAGATCAAAGATCTCCCTTTACCGGCCCAGAGACACTTCCAGGCGGCCGCTTGCTGGGGTGTGAGGGAGGGAGGAGAGGACCGGCGGAGCTCTATCCAGCAGCTCCGCCGGGTCCTCTCGCGGGATTCTGAGCGTTGTCGCGGTTACCGCGGCAACGCTCAGATCTCGCGAGAGTGAACTCTAGCCTACAGGCTAGAGTTCACGCTCACCACTAGGACCACCAGGGATCAGGCAGCATGGCTCTCCTCCCACGGCAGAACGGCTCCCCCCCTTCCCAGGCTAAAGGTAAGAAGGGAGGGGGGGGGGGAATTTAACTTTTTTAAAAATTATTATTATTATTAATAAATAAAAAATTAATTTAAATTAAAAAATCACACTCACACACACACAGCACTCCCAGACACACACAGCACCCAAAGACACACACAGCACCCAAAGACACACACGGCACCCACAGACACACACAACACCCCCAGACACACAGCACCCAAAGACACACACAGCACCCCCAGAAACACACACAGCGCACCCAGACACACACAGCGCACTCAGGCACACAGCACCCTCACTCACACACAGCTCCCTCAGACAGACAGCACCCTCGCTCACACACACACATATATATATATATATGTGTTTATGTATGTGTGTGTATGTGTGTATATATATATATATATATATATATATATATATATATATATATATAATAACCCTCAGTGAGTTAACAGACAAAGAAAATTAGAATGTGACGGCAGATAAAAACACCCTCACACACAGCACCCCTCTTACATACACACACACTGCGCCCCTCACACATACAATACGTCCAAATATATATATGTATGTATATACACACACACACACACTACAGCACTACATACATTACGCTCCAGATACACGCTAGATCCCTTACCTTATATGCACTCTTAATCCTCTATACACACACACACACACACACACACACAATCTCCTATACACTCTGGGTCCTTTACACACTAGATCTCCTACACACACACTGCACCACCTACACACACACTACATTCCTTGTCAGCAAACACATACAACATTCTCTAAACACACCCTCTCTACAACCCCTACACACACTACTTCACCTATACACACACACACTACAGCCCATATGCACACACTCGCTACATCCCCTATAACACTATGCCCCCTATACACACACTCTCTACAGCCCCTAGCCACACATATTACACCACAAACACAAATGAAATTGACCTATTTACAGAATACCACACCACACTCTACACACACGCAATCCCACAAGCAGGCTCCAAACACATGCACCATACACTTTCCTGGCCCTTTTGTCCTCTGGTATCCCACTTGTTGAGACACCAGAGACAATTTAAAAGCAAACACAACACAAACATGTTATTAAATTTGCTTGCGCTGCGCAGAACAAATACAGGGCCTTTTTCTAATGCCAGAGCTCTTCAGCGCAGCTCTGCGCATTGAACCAACATGCTCACTTTGCGAGGAGGCGTGCTTGTCATTAGTGATGACAAAACACACCCTCTCTGGCCCCGCCCCCTTCTTAGGGGGCCGCTCTGATTGAAAAATGCCCGGGCCTAATTTTTTTCCCAGTCCGGCCCTGAACCTGCCTACCTGATTTATACAACCCTGCTTCATACCAACCTGGATAACCTACATCTCTGCTTTAACCTGCCTACCTGATTTATACAACCCTGCTTCATACCAACCTGGATAACCTACATCTCTGCTTTAACCTGCCTACCTGATTTATACAACCCTGCTTCATACTAACCTGGATAACCTACATCTCTGCTTTAACCTGCCTACCTGATTTATACAACCCTGCTTCATACCAACCTGGATAACCTCCATCTCTGCTTTAACCTGCCTACCTGATTTATACAGCCCTGCTTCATACCAACCTGGATAACCTACATCTCTGCTTTAACCTGCCTACCTGATTTATACAGCCCTGCTTCATACCAACCTGGATAACCTACATCTCTGCTTTAACCTGCCTACCTGACTTATACAGCCCTGCTTCATACCAACCTGGATAACCTACATCTCCGCTTTAACCTGCCTACCTGATTTATACAGCCCTGCTTCATACCAACCTGGATAACCTCCATCTCTGCTTT